GTCCTGGGGGACAGAAAGCAACAGGGTATGTGCCGGCCGTGGGGAGGGCCCCGTGGGCAGCTGGGGCTGTCACTCCAGCAGTTGCCGGGAGGCGAGCTGTCTGCGGGGTAGCACCCTGTCCCTTCCAATGTCAGAGGCCGGTAGCTGCACCGTACACCGCCCACAACGGGGGACGCCCGTCTGGATTTGGATCACAGCCGTATCTGGATGTGTGGCTCCTGTCTGTGCACTGAGGAAGCCACAGGCCACGAGCCTCCCTGGAGACCAGGACTGACGACCCGCGGCCCCAGCCCTGCACTCCCCCAACGCAGGACACCGGCCACTGCTCCACGGTGTGGGCAGTGCAGACCACCAGGGTCCTCATGCAGAGCTCTGTCGTCTTCTGCTGGTAACTCCGTTCCCATCGGAGAATCACCAGCCCGACACCTGCCCCCACGGGGAACACGCAGCCCACAGGACTCACAGGGCAGGCGGGGACAGTGGGACCCTTGTCGCCGGCAGTGGTAGGTGTGGGAGGTGTGCTGAAACCATAAGGACCTGGTCTTTACCATTGGTTCCCGGTTCCTAAAACCCTTGGACGTTCCTGATACGAGTGTCCTCTTGTTCTGAACACTGAGCCCCCCTTGCCCGTACCGGAGCTTCTCACTGAGAGGACTCGCGGCGGGGTCCCTAGAGAGCTTCGGGGCGGGGAGCTGGAGACCGACTTCCATCATGCGGCCAGCATCTGCATCTCGCGACTGCATCCAGAAGCCACGATACAACCCTGAGCAAGGCTTGGGGTCTTCTGGGCCAGGGCGCCCCCGGCCGTGCTGAGCAGGGCGGCGGGGGCTGGGGGGACGCGCCCACAGGGACAGTCAGCTCCGCGCACGGCTTCTGCCTGCTGCCTCTGAGCTGTGGCTTTCGTACCAAACGGAGGACAGCAACGCCCAGCCCTTCCCTGCAGCAGACCTGAGGCGAGAGGCCGTGGGTCACCCGTGTCCGGAGCTGGCCAGGCAGCAGTGTGGGTGGCCCGGGGGCCCCATACACGGCGCACGTTGGGGTGGGGCAGTCTGTGGGGCTGTCGTGCCAGCTCCAGGTAGGGTCAGAACTGACCGGACTCGGGACACTCCAGTGCGCGGGAAATGCTCTGAAAGTGGAAGGGACATGACTATTTGAAATAAACTACATGAAATTTCTCCTGGTCGGTTGTCCCCGAGCCTCCGTCCACTTCCGTGTTGGGACAGATTTGCTTTTCCTGCCCAAAGCTCAGCTGTGGACGTCCCAAATTCTCACTCACCATCATGGCTTCTCACAGCAAGTGTGGCGCCCCTGGCTCGCTAGGAGCTTCCATCCCCGGGGTAGCAGTCGGCGGAAAGGCCCACCTGCTCTCCTGGAGTCGTTCCTCCCACAGCCGGACGGTCAGCCTGGAGCCTGTGGGCAAGACAGGCTCAGCCCGTCACCGTCATTCATGCCGAAGGACTCCCGGGCAGTTTCTGCTTCCCAACCTAGGACGCTGGGCTCTGCTGTCCCAAGGGAGGACTGCTTCCCCCAGATGACAACGGTCCCTTTGAACAACGAGCGGAGACTGTCCCCAGAATCAGCAGAGACAGGGTTACTGCACTGGCCGGTGCGACACCCTCCAGTCAGCATGAGGCAGCCGGGTGGCCAGCTGGCAGGACGACAGGGACGTCGGTCTGTAACCCACATACTCACTAGGTACATACTCTTGGTACTCAGGACTTTCAGGCTCAACAGTGAAAGTAAATGAGCAGAATCTTCTAAAACCAAGACGATTGAGGTCTCCAATCTTTCGGGAAGGTGCTGGCTGAGGGCCAGGAACCAAGGCCCAGGCGATGGAGGGAGAGGGCCTTGCGACTCCATACAGAACGGGGAGGCGGCAGGCTCCCCCGCGCCCAGTGCCCCCACTTGGTGTGACAAGCCACAGCGCGTCGGCTGCACACGGTCATGAAGGGGAGACCCCGTCCCAGAGAGGGGGTCGGTTTCCCCTGGACAGCAAGGCCGTGTGGGCCGCGGAGACGTGCAGGGCTTCCTACCACAAGCCCCCCAGGTCAGGCAGGTGTGCTACATTCCGTCTGGGTCAGGAAATGTGGCTGAGGCAGGAGAACCGAAGGGGCGGGTGGCGCTGCCCTCGGGCCGGCAGATCCGTTCCCACCTGCCTGCCCTGCGCCAGGACCATCCCGTGCTCCCTAATTGGTCTCGGGGGACAGCAGGGTGGAGATGGCTGCTTATTTTTTTTTTTAAAGATTTTATTTATTTATTAGACAGAATCACAAGTCAGCAGAGAGGCAGGCAGAGAGAGGAGGAAGCAGGCTCCCCGCTGAGCAGAGAGCCCGATGCGGGGCTCGATCCCAGGACCCTGGGATCATGACCTGAACCGAAGGCAGACGCTTAACCCACTGAGCCACCCAGGCGCCCCATGGCTGCTTATTTTTAACGGTGCCGCACGCGCATCCCTGGGAGCCGACATGTCTCTTCTGCGTGGCCAGTTCCTGCTGGGGGCACCCTGTCCCTGCGACGCTGGGACAAATCTCTCAACCCTGCAGCACCAGGGCCAACAGCTCCTGACCGGGCTCGTCACGGCTCCTGCACCATCAGAGTAGTCAGACCCTTGCCTTAAATCCCTTCTTTGGGCACCCGGGGGCTCCGTCCCCTGCCCGGGATCCTGTTCTTAGATTAGGGCATCCTGGCCAGACTCTGGTTGTGATATAGTTGTTCATCTTTTGTTGTGAAAATTTTCACACAACAACCACATATGCACTGTATGAGCTAGATTCAACATTTAACGACTCTGCCATGTTTACTTAATACATATTCAAGTGTATGAATTTTCTTTGACTAAAGAACCATTTCAGGGGCGCCTGGGTGGCTCAGTGGGTTAAAGCCTCTGCCTTCGGCTCAGGTCATGATCTCAGGGTCCTGGGATCAAGCCCAGCGTCGGGCTCTCTGCTCTGCAGGGAGCCTGCTTCCCCCTCTCTCTCTGCCTGCCTCTCTGCCTGCTTGTGATCTCTGACAAATAAGTAAATAAATAAAAAGAAAGTTATTTAAAAAATAAAAAAAAGAACCATTTCAAAGTATACTGTTTATGTTGTGGCTCCTTTTTTAAAAGTTTTTAAAACAATGTTTAAATTCAATTAACACACGGTGTGTTAGTCTCAGAGGTAGCGGTCGGGGAGTCCCAGCTGCATACAACACCCGGTGCTCGTCCCGTCACGTGCCCTCCGGAATGCCCGCCCCCAGTCACCCCATCCCCCACCCACCTCCTCCCCAGCAACCCTGTTTGTTTCCTATGGTTGAGTCTCTCATGGTTTGTCTCTCTGATTTCATCTTGTTTTATTTTTCCCTCCCTTCCCCTACAGTCCTCTGTCTTCTTAAATCCCACATACGAGTGAGATCGTGTAATTGTCTTTCTCTGACTGACTGACTTCGCTCAGCACAACCCCCCCCAGTCCCATCCACGTCGATGCAAAGGGCAGGACGTCTCCCTTTCTGATGGCCGAGTCACATTCCGTTGTGTAGACGAACCCCGTCTTCTCTGTCCGTTCATCTGCCGACGGACATCCGGGCTCTTCCCGCAGTCTGGCTGTTGTGGGCGTCGCTGCTGTGAACCCTGGGGGGCAGGGGCCCCTTCGGGTCACTCCATCTGCATCTTTGGGGTAAATACCCAGTAGTGCGGTTGCTGGGTCGTAGGGCAGCTCTATTCTCAACTTTCTGAGGACCCTCCACGCTGTTCTCCAGAGCGGCTGCCCCAGCTTGCGTTCCCACCAACGGTGCAGGAGGCTCCCCTTCCTCACCAGCATCTGTCGTTTCCTGACTGGTTAATTTTAGCCATTCTGACTGGTGCGAGGTGGGGTCTCACTGTGGTTCTGATGTGTATTTCCCTGTTGTGGCTCCTTATTCTTAATAATTCTGCGTACAAAGCCTAAGAAAGCATCATTCTGTTACCTGTCAGCACACCCAAGATTTGCAACTAACAACTCCCTTAAAATCTAGCGTCCAGTACAGACTCAGCTGTACCCTCAGTGACCCCCGAAACTACCTTCACAGGTGCTGTCCCTCAACTTAAGGACTAAGCTTCACCACCGCACTGGGTCCTGTCTCCTTGAGAGAACAGGCCCGTGTTTGTCCTCCTGACGGCGTGGTCAGTCTTATACGGTCTCACACACTTTGTTCCTCCTCCTCCAAGTTGGGAACCGCCGCCGGAGACACCCACAGTCCACACAGCAGCACCCGCTGAGACCGGAACGCGAGCTGCCAGCGCCGAGCTCCGCGGTGTCCTCAGGAACCCAGCAGAGGACGCCTCCCCAACCCCCCTGCCCAGTAACGGGCCTGCACGTCTCGGTGAACAAGAAGGTTCTCTCCCCCGCGTTTCCTCCGAGGAAGGCAGGGGCATCGGGATTACCTCCCACGGGTACTGAGCTGGCATGATGGTCACTGCCGCTGGGGACTGCCTACGAGCCCGCCCACATGAGGGTCTAGCCATTTAGTATTTGAGAACCTACCACTGTGACTCTCCTCCTGGACATGAAACTGAAGAGACCCTGCCTGGGCTCCAGGTCCTGGGGCTGCGACGACCTGGCCTCGGGGACAGCAAGAGGTGGAGTGCACAGCTCAGCAGAAGAGGCGGAAAGGCCACTGGACGGGCCTGACGGTCGTGTCCACTGACAGAGAACACAGACGTGCGCCAGGGCCGCGGGTTACAAGGAAAATCGATTGTGGAAATGTGCGGTCACTCGAAAAAGTGGTTTGACATCAAAACCTACGCCCAGCAGATGAATACAACGTTCCAAAGTCCTAAAACCCCATGGAAATACTAAGAAACCAAGCAAGACAAGGCAAGTGGCTATCTTTCTGTCTTTACCGGGTGAGGAGGACTTTGCATTCCACCAAAAACGCTGACGTCCAGTTCAACATAAATTCTAAGTCTGTTCTGGTTTTTCACCAATGATGAGGCAAATCGGATAGAACTAAAAAACAACACAACGGCCATTCACAAATAAAATAGTGCTTGATTTTATTCTTTTTGCTCTTGGGGTGTTTTTGTTTTTAAACCGAGTTCCCATCTGTACACTTTAAGAAAATCAACAACGAGGAGGCCCGCTGGGCAGCTCTGGCCACACACACCGAGCAGGACGGGTGCCAGTCACCCACGGGCACGCACGTCACCTTCGGAAGCTAAGGAGCTAAAACACACGGCAGTTACACAGAACATACTCCACTGGGCTCTCCAGCACCGCAGGGAGGTGGGGACGCCCAGTGAGCGGCTCTTGGGGCTGGCACCTCAGGCACCGAGCGCAGGCCACGCCACGCCACATGCCACGCCACGCCACGAGTCTTCCTTGAGAAAAGGGAAAAAAAAAATCTTTTCCTCAAATGGACTTGTCATGGTAAGAGCCACAGGATTTTATTCATTGTTTGATCTTCTGGCGGCAGGACTTCTTTGAAGCAGAATCTAAAAATAAATAAAAATGACACAGCAATTCATTAGAAGTCTTCCTGTGTCTTTTAAGAAGAATTTCAAAATTTTTAAACAGTGCCCCTGAATTAGTCTCATCTCTGGTAAAGAAGACAACTGAGGTGCACCACGGTTTCAAGGTGGTGAAGAAACCCAGACAGACCACGTGCCGGCCGGAGCAGGGTCGCTGCGGCCCGAGCGCGTGAGGGAAGGAGCGAATGGTTCCCACGCTTCCTACCAAGGACCCCTCTGAGGCGCCTCCACTCGCGACCGTCCTGAGGCTACTGACGGCAGCTGGTGACAAGCCTGAGGCCCACTCAGCCTCCGCCACGGGACTGTGCGCGCCTTGGGTGCTGCGTCTCACTGAGAGAAAGAGAACTCGTTACCTGGCGGCGCCCCGCCCAGTCTCTGCTGGACCATCTCTAAATGATGAATATATTCCGTCAAGGAACGTTCAGGGTCTTGAGAAGCAGTCAGGGATCTTTCGGATCTTGAATCCGGGGACGGAGTGGATCTTCAAACAAACACACAGACACACCAAGAAACAGTGAAACTCAAGCGACGGTGAACGCAGGCAGCAGCAGACAGTGGGGACGGGGGCCACACGGCCGTTTCCTTTAGACGCCGGCTGCACCCCAAAATCAGAGAGTAAAGCGTGTGTGTTTCTGTGTGCGCGTACGTAGGCATGTCCTCTCTCCGCCCACCGTGAGGCTCGAGCCCGACCCTGAGATCAAGAGCCGCACACGCCACCAACGGGGCCAGCTGGGCGCCCCCAAGCCCAGGCGCTGTTTGAAAGTGTCACGTAACACCTTGAAAACCAACTTGTCAGGGGCGCCTGGGCGGCTCAGTCGGTGAAACGTCTGCCTCCAGCTCAGGTCATGATGCCGGCGTCCTGAGGTCCAGCCCCACCATCGGGCTCCCTGCTCAGCGGGGAGCCTGCTTCTCTCTCTCCCTCTCCTCCCGCTCATGCTCTCTTGTGCTCACTCACTCTCGCAAATAAATAGATAAAATCTTTAAAAACAAACAAAACCAACTTCTATAGAACGTCTGAGTTAAAATGAATAAAAATTATTGTGTATTATTTTATTACTTAAAAAGACTTATTTAGGGGCGCCTGGGTGGCTGAGTGGGTTAAAGCCGCTGCCTTCGGCTTAGGTCATGATCTCAAGGTCCTGGGGTTGAGCCCCGCATTGGGCTCTCTGCTCAGCCGGGAGCCTGCTTCCTCCTCTCTCTGCCTACTTGTGATCTCTGTCAAATAAATAAATAAAATCTTAAAAAAAAAAAAAGAAGACTTATTTACGTAAGAGAGAAAGAGAGTATGGGGGCCCATCAGGCGACAGGTAGAGGGAAACAGAATCCCAAGCAGACTCCATGTGGAGCATCGAATCTGATGCAGGTCTCGATCTCATGACCTTGAGATCATGACCTGAGCTGAAAGCAAGAGTTGGACATTTAACCGACTAAACCATCCAGGTGCCCCAAAATATGTTACTTTATTCACAAATTTTTTTTTACTTACGAAATTTTCAAGTGTAAATGTGTTACCTCAACTGGACTGTGCCGCCCTGTCCCTCAGAACCACCCCCCCCACCCGGTGCCTTGCGGGTGACCCAACTACCCACTGGCTTTTCCCTGACCATCCCAAACCGTCCCCTTCGCCCAGGGCACGACCTGCCCGATCCAGTCTCTCACAGCACCTTTCCTCCCGGGCCTCTGCTCTGCGACCCTCACGCTCCTTCGGGCTGTCTCACTCGCCCTCGCGCCATCCGCACAGGACAGCCGTTGGCTGGCGCGGACTCTCCGTAACCATCACCGACCCAGACCCCAGGGGTGCCCCAGCCACAGACAGGGCGTCTCTGCCTTCCTTCCCCACACGGGGCTGGGCCCCGGAGCCCCGAGTCCTGCGCACGCCCTGCCTGGCGTGAGGCCGGCCCAAAGCCAGAGCTTCCAAAGCACATCTCCCCGAGGAGCCCACGCGTCGGTGGGACGACACCAGCAGGCGACCGGAAGTCAGCCGCACGCCGAGCTGGTGCCGAGCTGGGTGCGCGTCTGCACCCGGGCGTACGTCCTGTCGCTCGTGCGTCCTGCCTGTCAGGATGGCCCACCAGGGACGGGCAGCGTGCGGAGAAGCCCCCGTCAGCCAGCGGCAAGGGCTGGAGGCACACACGCCGGCGCGTCCTCCCCGTCCAGTCACGGAACCATGCGGCGGAAAGCGCGCGCAGAGAAACGGGGGACCCTGGGTGCGCGGACAAATGCGCAGACACAGACTGAAGTTGGCTGCGCTACAGAACTGGCGCCGTCATGGCTGAGAGGAGGGAACACAGGGCCCGTGAGCAGAGGCATCTTGGTGCCTGAGGTGGGCGTTCCCGTGGTTTGCTCTGCGGAAACGAAACCCAGGCCCCCCCTGCACGGTAACACCCGGAGGGGAAGCCACGGCCACAACCCTTCCCCACCGGGTCCGCAAGTCACGGCTCCGCGCGCTCGCGGTAACGTGGAAACAAACTTGCATTCCACCGTCCAACCACTGGCCCTCGCGTGGGAACACTGTTGCGGTAACATCTCAACAGCCAGCTGAGTGGTACGCAGGGTGGTGACATCACGTGTGCAGAAACCCCAAATGGCACAGAGAGGAGATGAGCTCAAGCCCACGCAGGCCTTGGTGAGCGCGGCTCGTCTGGGGAGCTGCCCTGCGTACGGGCTTGCCCGCAGGCCCACCTATGCCGGAAACGCGGCCCAGAAGCCCACTCACCTTTCCCTCCTGCGCAGGGAGGCCTTGGGCACACGGTCCCCGGCGTGGCTGGAGGACGCGTCCCGGGTTGGCGGGGACGTGCTGGTTTTGGGTGGAGGCTGCTGGCGTGGAACCGGGACTCCTGCCCCAGCCACCGTTGAACAACAGATGGGTTAGGAAAAGAGACAAAAGCCTTTTAGCAGGAAGACCCCTCTACCAAAATTTAAAATTTACGAACTTCTAAGAGTCTGTATGGCAATTTGAAAACATTTAAAATACCCGATTTATAAAAATTACGTTTTAAAAAGCTCTAGAGAAAACGTAGGTTTGATCACTTGTACTGGGCCCCTGCCGGGCTGACCTGACCCCAGGGGAGCCCTCTGTGACCTTGTGGAGCCAGCAGGGTGCTCCCCCCACCCCGGCTTTGAGGAGGGGGCTCTGGAGAAGGGAGAAGCTGAACCGAGACCACCAGGTGTACCTGGTCAGGGAACAAACCCTCCTTAAGGCCCGAGGGCCCAAGTACCCATCGGTGGCCGGGGAAGGCCAGCTGTGGAGGGTCTGGCCGCCTCCCCTCCAGACGCCCGAAGCCCTCCCTGCAGGACCAGGGGGCGCGTCCCCCTGCGAGGCGGGGTTCTCTGCACACGGTTACTCTGGGGCAGGGCCCGCGGGAGGCCTGCTCTCGCAAAGCAGAGACGCAGCCCAGCAGCCGACGTCTAATTCGGGGGAGTTACTCGCCTCTACCTCCAGCACCCCAACACCGGTCCCACTGTAGCTGGTACGCCACGCTTCCCAGCACTGAAACCACCCGCCCCCACAAGCCACCGTGCCCCGGGGCTTCCTGCATGCTTTCCTGGGCTCCCACCTGGGCGGGGCGCTCGGCCTGGCACGATGGCTCCTTTCCCATCTACCTCTTGCCACTTCTTAACCAAGAAACGTAACCTACAAAGGAAAGAAAGGACACAAAACATCGGAAACTAGAGCAAAACCGTTGCGGAAAGAGCAATGAGAGTCCAGGCATGACCGACACCTGGGATCAGACCTGGGTGGGCCCCTGCTGTCTGTGGCGCCACCCTGACACCCACCAGCCTGGGGTCCCACAGACTCAGTTCAAAGCCCCGCAACACCCTCTCCCTGCCGCCGCGAGCACCACTCGATGACTCAGGGCAGGAGGAGCAAAGACAGAGGCCCTTGCCCTCAGGCATTCTCGGTCAGATGGAGAGCAGGACTGTCAGGGTGAGGAGTGCCGGAGGTCGGCCCCCAGAGGTGCACCGCTGCGGGGCTCCTGGCCCCTCCTGGGACGGCCCCTTCGTGGCTCAGCAGACACCCTTCTGGCCTTCCTACCAGCTGCTCCTTCTAGACACCGCTGCCTCTGACCGTGTGCCCTCCCAGATAGCGCCTTCTGATTCGCATCAAACCACAGCTGCTGGAAATGCTCTGCCCCTTGGCAGGAAGGCTGAAGGCAGGGCCTGGGCCTGGTCACCTGCCCGCATCGCACCCACCAGGCTCCCTGGCCCGGGGCCTTCTCTCCAAACATGCAGAACGGAAGGATGGACAGATAGGTGATGGCTGGGGTGGCGTGTGGTCAAAACTCAGAGATGAGGGGACCAAGTGCCCTGAGGCTGAGGGCTGAGAGCAGGAGAGCGAGGAGGCCAGGCAGCCCCCCCCCACCGCCTCTGCTGGAGCCATCTGGCCGGGTGCTGGGTCTCTGCGGGGGCAGGGCTCCGCAGCGCGGCCGGGAGAAGCCAGGGAAGCCTGCCCACCCAGCTGCTGCGCTGGGCGTTTGGCCCACACAGACGACGACGACGGGTAGGGGCTGAGGAAGGCACCTCTCGGGCTTCCCACGGCAGACATCGCACTAACAATTGTTAGTGGGACAAACATTTGTGGAAATTCAGCAAATCTTAAAATTATAAAACGGATTTTCATCACTGCTAATTCTGAACGGGTCAAAATTCCCAGTCACACCAGAGACTCACATACCTGCTCCCAAAACAACAGCCTGTGTCAACACCTGGGACCCTGAGTGGTGCCTGAGACTGGCGGGACCCCCAGGCCCTGACCTCCCCCGGGGAGTGGGCTTGTAGCCAGGATGACAACACCACACACAGCCACTGCCCCACGCGGGTCACGTGCTCTGGTGGACCTGGCCCCTTTCACGGAAATACAGGGACCGAGAACGTGAGCCATGAATGCGGTTTCAAACTCTTATCAGCTATGCCTGGTGTCAGAGGAGTCCCAGCATGAGGCCCATCGTGGGGCGAGGTGTTGCTGGGTGACAAGAAGGTCTCCCTGAACCCTACTGTCAGAAGGAGAGTGACAGCTCTGCACACGGTCTCCTGGAGGCAAGTGTCGCTCAGAAGGGGGCACATTCACGGACACAGCCCGAGGCCCTGCACGCTCCTGCCCTGGGACGCGGCGGCAGCAGGGGCCCCAGTGCTACCTTAGTATCGCGATCACCACCCTGACGGCGGTCCGAAACTTCGTAAAAGGGCGAGAAGGTGTAATTTTCTTATCTGCTTTGGAAGGAAATACTCCCAAATGAGCGATCATGGACAGCGTCTCCTGTTCAGAGTCCTGGAATCCGCCAATCAATAGCAGAAGATACTTCTTTTGATAAATCAGAGCTTTTCTGAAGCTTTCTGCTCTCAAGTAATGCAGGTACAACTTCTCCACCTGAGAGAAAATGAAGTCAAGCGATCAGGGAACGAAGACACCCCCCGCCACGTGCACCGCGCGTCTGCACCGCCGGGCGTCAGAGAGTAGCAGACGGCGCCCGGCCGGCTCAGTCAGCGGAGCGGGCGCCTCAGGATCTGGGGCTTGTGAGTTCAAGCCCCACGTGGGGCGTAGGGAGGACTTAAAAAGATAAATAAATACATCTTCAAAAAAAACCTGGAAAAACCCTGTTTCTCTGTTCAGCGAACTGTTACATTGTTACAGAAGCCAGCCCTGCAGGACATCTGTCACCAGGGGCAGCCTTGCGGGGCGCTTTGACAAATGACAGATCAGACATCCTTTCCAAGCCTCACAGGAGCCCCCAAAGGCCCCAAGAATCTGACCACGAGGTGAGGTGCACTCCCGGGGCGGGACGGGGTCTCATCCCCAGGCCCTTGGGACGTCTCGGGGGCTGTGGGAAACCCCTGAAGCCCTACCCAGAGGCGTACCCACAAACCCTGTTACTCTAACACACAGTTTCCCTCTAGAGAGGCCTCAGAGCTCGTACCGCAGGGACAAACACGCTGACCAGCGAATCCCTAGTCTGGGGTGTTTTCAGACTGTGATGACCATTACCTAACGCGACCCCAAGTCGGACGCCCTGAACTCGTGCGCACAGACACAAAGTACTTGTGCGGAACGACACCGCAGGGGCAAGTGCATCTGCTGTCACCGCTCTCGTCTGTGACGGCTCCACGTCTCCCGACTGCAAACAAGCTCGCGCGTACATGTGTCCGCACCTGTGCTCAGGCGAAGGAGAGCCCCACTATCACGACGGTGCTTGTGCGGCTACAACGGAGACCCACGGAACGCACTCCACCGAGAGTGAACCCCGACGTTCCCTGTGGACTCGGGGTGATGACCCGTCGGTGCTCGCGCAAGTGTGGGCCATCGACACGGGGGGCAAGAACGCACCGGCGCTCTCCACACTTTCGCTCCGACTCTGCCGTCAACCCTACGCTGCTCTAGGAACATAAAGGCCTTTTCCTCTTTAAGAGTATGAGTGAGCGAGCAGGGGAAGAAGCAGAGGAGAGGGAGAGAGCATCCCAAGCCACTCCTTGCTGAGCACGGAGCCTAACACGGGGTCAATTCCACGACCCCGAGATCATGGCCTGAGCTGAAATCAAGAGTTGGACACTCAACGGACGGCGCTCCCCAGGCACCCCAGAAATACAAAGTCTCAGAGACAGATAAGGGGCACCAAGTGGGTGGCGCCACACACGACCAGCGCGGCCCAGGCCTGGCCTTACTTGCACACCACAGCTGTCGGCCTCCTCGCGTGCGGCCGGCGCGGGCCGTGCTGGCTCTGGCTGTCGCGCTGAGCTCTGTGAGCCCGTCCCATCCTGTTTCCATGCAGACTTGTCCGGCCTCTGTAACAAACCACAGATGACATCGTCTGCACAGTTCCTCCACCAGAAGAACATCTCAGAGTACGGCCAAGGGCAGAGTCGGCACCCCCACCCCAGGGTCGGGGGCACGTCTCCTGAGTGCCATGTCCTGGGCCATCCTGGGTCCATCTAGGCAGAGTTGTCACGTATTATCAAGCACATCGTCAACACTCAGGGGTGGTTACTGCATACCGATTATGACTGCACAAAAGGTACATTTTTATTAAAACCAAACTCCAGATATTGGTGAAAGAACACCAGATTCAAAGCATTAAGCCTGCTGAACACACGCACAGTCTCAGGTCCTAGAGAGGCTGACTCCTGACAGGGCTGAGTCCCCGGTCCTATCGCGGGACCAGCGAATCCCAGGCCTTGACACCTCAGCAGGGGCCCCACGTGGGCGCCGTGGACACTGAGGGGCTGCCATGGCCAAGCAGCACCCCAAACACGGGCAGCGCGGCCTGGATGCCACAGTGCGTGGAGGGCGCCCAGAGCTCCGTGGGGGGGTCGTTTCCAGAGCATAAGGAACCCCTAGTGAGGACAGCAGAGGGGCTGCCCACACCGATGCCCAGAGGGAGCTCCAAGCACTTGGACCGTGTGCATGGTGACCTTGGTCCCACCACGTGGAACAGGAATCAGAGGTCACCCGGTCGCACCAGCCCCCAGCTCCAGGGTGCAGCTGAGAGGATGAGCCTGTGTCCGAGGTGACCCTGCGGAAGGGCTGTCACAGGGCCCCTGGTGAGGAAGGAGGAAAAGATGAGATGCTGTTTTCTGGTCCTGAAACACAGCCTGGTGGGAAGAGACTCTAGGAATCAAAGCCGTCTCAGACATGAAGGAGGAAATGTTCCACAAGTTCACGCTCAGCCTGTGATTTACTCATTAAAAATACTTATCTTTCAGGGGCGCCTGGGTGCTCAGTCGGTGAAGCGTCTGCCTTCAGCTCACATTATGATCCCAGGGTCCTAGGATCGAGCCCCGCGTTGGGGTTGGGGGGGGGGGTCCCTCTCAGCGGGGAGCCTGCTTCTCCCTCTCCCTCTGCCCCCATCGCATTCATGCTCACTCTCAGATAAAATACTTAAAAGTAAATAAATACTTATTTCCTACAACAAAAGCAAAAATTAACAAGTGGGACTACGTCAGCCTAAAAACCTTCTATGCAGGAAACCATCAACAAAACAAATGATACAGCCAATAGGAAGTAAACATCCAAAAATACATTAAAAAACTTGTATACGATTCAATATGAAAAAACCACCCATTGAGCAGAAAACCTGGACATTTTCCCAAAAAATACATATAAATGGCCAAAAGACACCTGAAAAAATGCTCCACATCACCGGGCATCAGAGAAACACAATTCAAAACCACAGCGAGACCCCACCTCACACCGGTCAGAACGGCTAAAGTTAACCAGTCGGGAAACGACAGGTGCTGGCCAGGATGCGGAGAAAGGGGCCTCCTGCACCGTTGGCGGGAACGCAAGCTGGGGCAGCCGCTCTGGAGAACAGCGTGGAGGGTCCTCAGAAAGTTGAGAATAGAGCTGCCCTACGACCCAGCGACCGCACTACTGGGTGTTTACCCCAAAGAAACTTAAAATACAGATGCAAAGGGACACAGGCACCTGACGTTTCTGGTGGCCTCAGTGACAGCCAGACTGCGGGAAGAGCCCGGGCGTCCACCAACAGATGAGGGGAGAGAGAAGCTGAGGGTCATAAGCACGACAGAGTAGGACTCGGTCATTACAGAAGGAGGAAATCTTGCTTTTCTTCTGACAACATGGACGGACGTCGAGGATACTAAATGAAGTGAAAGCAGTCAGACAGAAACGGACCGATACCCTGTCAGCTCACTCATATGCAGAATCTAAAAAGCCAAACCAAACAGACGCAGAAAACAGACTCACAGAAACAGAGCAAACTGGCTGGTGGTCAGAGGGGAGGAGGGCCGGGGGGCGGACGCCGCAGAGGGGCAGCCAGGAGCACTGTGACAAGTCTGTGGTGACAGATGGGAACCAGCCTCACGGTGGTCGAGGTCTCCTGGTGGATGCAAGTGTCGCATCACCATGTGGTCACCTGAAACTAGTGTCGTACGTCAGTTACTCCTCAATGAAATAATCTGTTTCCCGATTTCCTTGTTAATGTTCACTGAAAGCATCAAAGTGTTCTCCTGGCGACTGGGCTTTAGTCTCACAGGGACCTCCTAGCGCTTCTGACGAGTCCCAGAGAAGCGGACAGGGCTGTGAACGGCGCTGACCGCGGCTTTCATCAGGATTAAAACACGGAGCTGTGAGAGCTCACATCAAGGAAAGCAGGTCCTGGCCTGGCCGAGTGGCTCGACCCTCCTTCCCAAGGCCCCTTACCTTACCCACCGACATAGCTCGCAACAGACAAAGCAAGCCTGGACAGAGCTTGAAGACAAATTCGTGATTCCACTTAGAGACAGCAACATGCCCCTCGCTCCCCTCGCGGGGACCGAAGACGAGGAGGAGGCAGCTCAGTAAGGCTACAGGAGATCGGAATGACCTTTCTGGGACCCTCCACCAGCACCAGAAACACCACGTCCATCACTAAAAACCTTCCCTAGAAGACCCATACTAGGCCCAGGTGGTTTCACTGGTGAATTTATAAATATTTAAGGAAGAAATAAATGCCAGCTCTAGGAAACTTTTTCAGAAATTAAGAAGAGGAAGGAACACGTTCCAACTCATTTTATGAGGCCAAAACTTGACAATACCTCCAAAAAATAAAAAATAAAAAAAAAACAAAACCCTCCAGGGATACCCGGGTGGCTCAGTCATTGAGCATCTGCCTTCGGCTCAGGTCATGATCTCAGGGTCCTGGGATCGAGCGCCGCATCGGGCTCCCTGCTCAGTGGGGAGCCTGCTTCTCCCTCTCCCACTCCCCCTGCTTGTGTTCCCTCTCTCACTGTGTCTGTCTGTCAAATAAACAAAATCTTCAAAAACAAAAACAAAACAACAAAAAAGCCCTCCAGATTAACATCCCTCATGAACCAAGAGTCAAAAACACTCAATTTGCCCAAAATACGGGCAAACTGAACCCAACAACATGTGAAAACAGTAAGATATCATGACTGCCTGGGGCTTTCCCTGGTACCAGAACTCGGAGCCCATATCCAGAAATCACCGTAAGAGACCACGTTAGCTGAGAAAACAAGGAAACACACATCCCCTCATCAACAGGTGAAAAGAAAGCATTACAAAGTTAAATACCCATTCACAAACAAAAAGTCTTTGCAAACTAAGACTCAGAAGGAACTTTCCTCAGCTGCAGGGCCTTTGCACAAACACTTGACAAACAGAAGCTCCGCCCCCAGGACTGGGAACCGGGCCCGCTCGACCGTGTCCGGAAGTCCAGCCTGTGCCACCGCCAAGAGATGGAAATGAAAGGTATTCACACTGGAAAGAAAATAAACCCCTGTTCACAGATGACAGAACTGTGTCCATACGAAATCCTATGGAAGGGCTCACGGGATTAAAAAGCGCTGTCAGCAAGGGTCCCAGCACCAGGTGGACCCGGGAGTATGGACTTGCTTCCAGGCGTGAGCCAAGCGTGACGGGAGCACAAGAGGTCTGGGCAGCACCTTTCACAACACTCCCGAGAAACGAAATATCTAGGGTATCAATGTCACGTTTTCAGGGTCTGAACACAGACACGACAACGCATTTAGGAGACGGAAACAGACAAGCGGACGTGCGAGTTCCCAGATGGGAAGATCCGACAACGCTACATTCAAATGCAGGTACGGCGGCCCAAGGAGCCAAGATGTCCATTCTCGCCTAAAACCTTCACGATGGTCTCACTGAGAGGTGATTCACACCCCCTGAGCTTTATGCTCTGAAAATGTGCAATTCAACGGGCTTGGAGGATGTTTACAGAGGCTCGTGCCCCACATCAGGCTCCCTGCTCAGCAGGAAGCCTGCTTCTCCCTCCCCCACTCCCCCTGCTTGTGTTCCTGCTCTCGCTGAGTCTTTGTGAAATAAATGAAATCTTAAAAAGAAAAATTTAAAAAAACCTTTTTTTCTTTGTAAAAAAAGAAAAGCAAATCACAAACATACGAATCTAAGTATAAAAGAAAAAAAAACCAGGCATTCTAGGAATAAAGTCTATCAAACTACGTGATCAGGAACACTACGTCATTTTAATCAGGTAAAGCCAAATAGATTTCCTGCCCCAGGCCGGTGGGGAACATGATCTCACGCGTGTCCACGCAGGCGCTCGCGTCTGGGAACAGCGCAGACACGGGGCTGGAGGGCGCACGCGGGGGGCTCAGAGGCCCCGGCTGGAGGGAGCCCCGCCGGCCCGCATCCCGCACGGAGGCGCGTACGTACACTGCACACACCACGCCGCAGCAGGTGCTGCTTCAGCGACTTCTCCAGCTGCGACACCGCCCGGCACAGCTCTGCCTTCTCCTGCGTCACTGTGCGCAAGGCTGTGGTCAGGGAGTCGTTGTCCTTCAGGAGGACGTCCACCAGCTGGGTCTGCAGCTCCGCTGTCATCTTTCTCTTAACAAGGAGAAAACAAATTAGTAAACAAATCTGTTAAAAGGTATCTATGAGGGCGCCTGGGTGGCTCAGTGGGTTAAGCCTCTGCCTTCGGCTCAGGTCATAATCTCAGGGTCCTGGGATCAAGCCCCGCATCGGGCTCCCTGCTCGGTGGGGAGCCTGCTTCCTCCTCTCTGTCTGCCTCTCTGCCTGCTTGTGATCTCTGTCAAATAAATAAATAAAATCTTTAAAAAAAAAAAAAAGGTATCTATGAGCAGAGCCTGGGGGGCTGAGTCGGCGACGCGTCTGCCTGCGGCTCAGGTCATGATCTCGAGGTCCTGAGATGGAGTCCCGCGTCGGGGAGGGGACTGCTCAGCAGGGCGCCTGCTTCTCCCCGTCCCTCTGCCGCGCCCCCTGCTTGTGAGCGCTCGCTCTCTCCCCCTCTCTCTCAAATAAGTGAATAAAATCTTTGTTTAAAAAAGTGTACTTGCTACTTGTGTTTACTGTTGGTTACTTTCGCGAATCACAGTTTTATACACGTTTGGGGTTCAGTGGGAGCTTGTGGGGCTGGGCAGACGTCTCCGTCTATGGGACTGAAGGTAACAAGTCCTAACTCACAGCGCCATTCCTCTGTGCACGAGACACCGCCCAGCGCTGGGCTGCACTAACGAAGCCAGCGTGTGACAGAACTCCGCGCGGACGGCTCCCAGCTCCGTGAGCAGCACACGCGGGGAACGGGGAATGCCGTGTGCTCGTCCGAGGGGCCCAACACGCACATTCCTTAAAACAGGTTATCTCCAAAACTGGAGTCGTGCAGCCTGCAGCTGACTCGGGACACGGACACAGGCACGGCCTCCCCGGAGAGCAAGCCCCACACGGACCGGGTGGCCCCACAGGCACGCGGTCCGCTCTCCTGCTGCCTACATGTGTGCCACCTTCACGACACGTGACAGGATTTCACAGGGTCATCTACCTGGAACCTGCATCAGCCTCGGGACTTCTGAACCCTCCAGGCGCCGCTGCCAGGGAGCGTGGACTCGGCCCTCGGGAGCTCACTTCTGGCTCAGGCTTTCAACCCAGGTGTACATGGAGCAGCCTGGGTCCGTAGGGGCCCTGGGACACCTGCCCTGAGCACCACAGCCCAGCCCGGGCCCGCTGGAGGGTGCGCCCGGGCACTTGGCAAGGTCACGCCCACGGGAGGGGTGAACCACGCGGAGAGTGGGGGGAGCCGCCCTCACCTGGGAGGGACCGGGTGTGCTCAGCTCAGACTTGAGCTCCTCTAACGTGCGCAGTAAGGAGGTCACGGCTTTCTCGTTCGAGGACGTCCAGTCGCTAATTGTCCTGTGAACACAGAGAGACACTGGAAGGGCTGGCGCAGGCCACAACGCCACCCCTGGAGGGTGTGCTTCGGACCACCCCCTCGAGCCGCGCTCTGTCCACAGCGGCCGCAGGGACGGGACGCAGCCCTCGTGCGCACAGTCCGTGAGGCCCAGAGACGTCCGGCTGCTGAGCACAGACCACAGAGACTGCCCGAGCACGGCTTTCCGCTGGCGTCCGGTTTGGGTGTGAAGCACCGTCCGGAAGGAAGGCCTGCTCGGAGCTCACGCCGCTCTCCAAACTAAACCGATTCCTGACGGGGGAACCGTGCAGACAGGAGAGGGCGAGTGTCAACTCTTTCGTTCACAGAAACACTCCCTTTGGGCCCTCAAACACGGAAGGGCACCCTGCTTGTGTGAGCCACGGTCCTGAGGGCCGTGGCAAGGCAGACACCGTGCGGACCTGCCGCACCACCCAACACCAGCGGGCCCCAGCAGGCCGGGCCCGTATCCCGGCCCAGAACCTCGGGATGGGGACTGGTTGCAAAGGGACATGAGAAGACCAGATCTAAGAGAAACCTGGGCTTTACTCTTCCACCGCAATGCCAACAAACCCAGTCCTGTCGCCATCCTTCAGGAAGGTGCTGCCCAGAAATCCATCAAACCCGTGGGAATCCATCCAACCTGCCACATTAACACGGGGACGGGGAACCAAAGCCCGGCCCGCAGCGCCCACTCGGCTCGGCTCGGGGGACAGCCTGTCCGGACGGGCTCACCTGTCCACCGTCCGGCTGACGAAGCTGGTCAGGAGCCCAGCGGCGTACAGCAGCTGCTGACGGACCTTCTCCAGGCCGAGCCGCTCCTCCTGCAGCCACTCCGCCTCTGGGGCCTGGCGGGCCGCCTCCTTCGCCTCCAGGGCCTGCACGGTCCGCTGAAGCTGCCGGATCTTGTGCTCGTCTCGCTGGCGCTGCAGCTCCAGCTCTCGCTGTTGTTGGTGGCAAAACAACAGGAAAGTCCTTCACATGCCTGTTCCCAAAGCAGAAGCCTGAAGCCCAGCTGTCACGGTGGGGGGGCGGGGTCGGCGCAGCGACACCCTCCACGGGGCACAGCGACCGAGGCAGAGCCCAGCTCCGCAGCGTGGGTGCGGACGGCCTCATCGCCGCCTCTGAGAACCGTCGGGCTTTCACGAGCATGCACGGGGGAGGCGGGACACGGAAACAGGAGTCCTCACAGGCCCAAGTCCCGGCTTCCACCGTCAGCGCCCGCGCACACGCCCACACACACCCACACACGGACCCGACGGGCACGGAGGAAGGCGCACGTGCACCTGGTGGAAACGTCCTCACTTGCAAAATGCCCTTCACCACGGAGGTGCCAGGCATGGCGGGACAGCCCTGGCTCCCAGCCCAGCACGGGGATCTGCACCCCCATCGGGGACACAGAGCGGGTCACCTGCCAGAAACCCGTCCAGGCAGCCGTAAATGCCAGAAGGCCGCTTGGAGGAGCTTCCGCAGGTGAGGACGCCTAGGGAAGGGCCGGAGAGGCGGTGTGGCCGGTAGAAGCTGGGTCGCCCGGAACCCAGCCCAGGCCTCCCGCCGCCGCACAGCCCACGCAGCGCAGACCACGGCGTCAGCTCGATCGACGCAACAGCCTCGTGAGGACGGGGGCATCGCTACTTGGCTATTTTCCAGGAGAGGAAAGCAAGACACCGAGGGACCTACAGAGTTACTGTGTGCGGAAGAGATGGGACCGACCGAGCAACCACCTCGGGAGGCCACCGCGCTCCGAAGGAAGTCCACAATCCGGAACAAACTAACTGTCTACAGACCACAACACCCAAAGGGCTGTGTCAATCACTGAAAACTCCGTTCCATGACATGCTGTGAAGAACAATTTATTAACTTGAAAAACATTTTTGTTGCATTTTTTTAAGCAAAAACAAATCAAAGCTAAGGGGTTTGGCTGAAAACTTTGGAGGTAGTTTGAGAAGTTCTTCAGAAGCACATGGAGGCCACAGACACGCTTCCCAGGGAGAAAGGCAAACATACGCGCACACATACACACGCGCGCACACACACGCACGCACACACATACACACGCGCACACTCACGCACACGTACACACATGTGCGCGCACACACGCACATACACACGCACACTTACACGTACACGCGCACATACACACACGCACACACACATACGCACGCACACACACATACACACGCGCACAAACACACGCACGTGCACACACCACACGCATGCACAAAATACTGAACACATTCGGGGGTTCCGCGCCAGCAAGGCCACCCTGGGGCGTGACCCGACTCGTCTCACAAACAGCACAGGTTCCGCACAGCCACACACCACCCACTCCTTGCAACACCTCCAAACTAGCCCGTGTTTCGGGGCGGGTGTGCGGTAAACACGACCATGACCGTGAAGCCTGTGTCCCTCAGCACGGCACACACATGGGCTTTGGAAACACTGGGGAAGGAGCTGGACAGGGAGGCCCCGCGCTGCCCGATTCCTTCCCAGGAAACGTGCACCACAGGCCGGCCCACACACAGGAAGGTGACTTGTGGAGGCCAGGGCTGAGCACTAATGGTGCGACTTCCATGTGGGGCGATGGACGTGTCCTAACACGCGTGGTGGCGACAGGTGTAAGATTCCGAAGGTACCGAAACCCCTGACGCGCAGAAGTGAGGCTGGTGAACTCGGGTGTGAGCCGGGTCTCAGCAAAACGCCCAACGCACTGATCACACATGCCGTGAACTTCCCCAACTAACCAATCTCATGGCGTTTGGGGAGTTGACTCACCCTTGTAACACAGAGAAATCTAGTTTTCAGAAACATTCATTTCTCAAATATTTCAGGACAGGCTAACCACTGAGAAGACCAGGCTACTGGTCTTCCTCATGTGTTCTTAAAAACTTATTTGGATTTTCACAATTTAAAAAAATTACGCTTAAAAAATATTTTTAAAAAAATATTTAAAAAACATTTTTGAAGAAAGCAACAACAAGCGTCCACCCATGCAAAGACACAGAGTTCAATTTTCTCAGAAACAAAGGTTTCTGATTGATATAAAACATATCTAAGGGTAACATTTTGTTCAAAACATAGAAACACTTCCCAACCTGTAAGGCAAAAATCATCCAGGTATCAAGGTCAAAAACACCACAACTTGAAAAAAACCAATGTCCCCTACGAATACAGATGCAGAACCCTAACGAAACGCGGCAGGCCAAGCCAGCGCCATACAGAAAAGCACCACAGAGCGGGGTTCGGTCGGGAACGCACGGCGAGCTCTACAGATGGGACTGATCGACAGGAAACTCAGCGTCAACAGAATAAAGGGCAAAAACATCGATTCCAAGACACCAAAAACACAATCCAAACTCTCACGACTGAAGACACGGCACACGCAGGCTGAGCGAACCAGGAAGAGAGAGCCTCCTGCGACGGCCGGAGACTGTGACGGTGGCCCCGGGATGGGCAGGGGCCGTGTGAAAGTCACCTGCACAGGGACAGAAGCCGCCGCCGTGGGCGTGCAGGAGACGTGATCTCATGCGTGGAAAACTACACGCACGTTAAGAAGCTGGGAGTAGCGGACAGGTCTGAGGTTGTAAGAACCACCCGCGCTGCTGAGGGCCAGTGGGGGCGATCAAAGTCCGATTAAGAAACTGAGTCCACGGACCACAGCACCAGACGTCGCTGACACCTGCGGACACCCGGACGGTGGCGCCCACTCATCCCCTGGAAGCCGCAGCACCCGAAGATCAGGCCTAGCTGTGCGGAGGGACTGCCTCCTTCACCCTCCGCAGAGGTGACACCGCCAAGGGAACCACCCCCCAAAAGCTGCCCGCAGAGTCTATGCGGGCCCCCGAGTGCCCAGACGATCCCGAGAGACCCGCCACGGAGCGGTGGCGACCGGAGGGCGGCGGACGGACAGACCAGCGGGACGGAGGAGCGGGGGACCCGGCCCCATGGCGGGCAGCGGGGCGGCGACGCGGCCGGCGCGCGCTCACCCGTTTCTCCTTGTCTCCTGACGGCCTCAGCTCCATGTCGGCCCGGCCCGGCCCCGTCTCCGCTCGCCTCCTCACGTCCTTGCGTCCTTCCCGCGCGGCCGGCCTCGCCTGTGCGCACTCTAGTCCCGCCGGCGGCCGCGCGGCTATGAGCCGTGGCTCCTGGGCCGGGGGCAGCTCCGTGCCAGGGCTGTGCGCCGCCCTTACCTCCTTGTCCCGCTCCAGCTCCGCCGCCCGCCGCCGCTGCATCTGCTCCAGCCGGGCCTGCGGCTCCGGTACGCGCGCCCGCTCGTCCCTCGGCCTCCGCGGCGGGGCGTGCTGCACGGGGGGCTCGCGGGCGCCGCGGCTCAGCTGCTCCGTCAGCAGCTGCTCGTGCCGCAGGGCGGCCGCCAGCTCCCGCGAGCGGCCCTTCTCGGCCTCCAGGCTGCGTTGCAGCTCGCACAGCTGGCCCCGCTCCTGTGCCAGCAGCGCCTCGCAGCGTGAGGCCTCGATCTGCAGCTCCCGCCGCAGGTTGTCCGCGGCCGTCTGCTCGTGCTCCAGGGCCACGCGCAGCCGGCTGCTCTGGGCACACTGCTGCTCCAGGGCCGTCCTCAGCTCCTGCCGGGGAGTGGACAGCACGTGGTGACCCGAGGGGAAGGATGGTGCTGTTCCGCCGCGGCTGCCGCGCCCCCCCGACCCCACGGACGCAGCCGTCCCTCCGTCCCCCCGCCGGAGCCTCGCGGCGGAAAGTCTGGAGGCCACAACCCCAGCCTCGGCTCACCATCCCGCCCGTCCAACCCCAGCACCCGTGGGTCACGACGAAGATGCCGCTGTTCTGCCCGGCTGCCGGGCACATGCCGCGGGGAGAGGACGAGAGGGGCCCCGCCGGCCCTGCCGCCCAGGCACCTCCAGGGTCTTGGAGCTCTGGCCCTCCTCGTGCAGGTGCCGTAGCCGCTGCTCCTCGAGCCGGCTCCGCAGGGCACGCTCCTTCCCGCGCTCGCACTCCAGCTCCTGCAGCGCAGCCTTCAGGCTGCTCTCCTTGCCGTCCAGCACGGACCTGCGCGGGAGACAGGGCAGAGCCCGCTGCCTCGTCCGACCTGCATGTGCGCCTGCGCCGGGTGCCCCCCCGCACACCCAGCGCCCCCCCATCACAGCCTGAGCACAATCCACAGCCCGCCAGGGCTGCCCTCCCCTGGCCGCACCAAGGGAAGGGCGTGGACGCCTGCCAGGCCTCTGCGCCTCCCTCGACAGAGTCTGCGGACGGACGGACCAGGGCCCAGAGGCGCATGTGGGGCTGCGGCCCTACCTTAGCTGCAGGACCTCCTTCTGCGCCTCGCTGAGGGACGCCAGCAGCCTCTCGTTGTCCTGTTTGCACTCGCGGAGCTCAGCTCTCAAGTCTCGGACGGCGGTCTGCTCCACCGCCAAGAGCTTCCGCGTGCTGCCGGCTTTCTCCTGCTCTTCCTTCAGGGTTTTCTGCACGTCACTGGCTATCCGCTTCTCCTGCTCGACCTTATACGCCAGTAGCTCCACTGAGAAAGACACGGGAGACAGCCTCGCCCACAAATCCAGGGCGAGCTGTGCCTGTGACCTCAGAAATTAAACACAAACCAGTATAGGGATGGGACATACTCACTCTTGGGGAAAACGACACTTCCAGGCCTACAGCCGGGACGTTAGCCTCCGCCCCACACCCCCCAGGCCTCGGGGCACCTAGAGGTGGATGGGCAGAGTGACCCCACAGGCCAGTGGACAGGACAAGGCTCCCCAGGGCCAGTGGCTCAGGCCTGGGGTCTGCCTGGAGGCTCAGGACGGAGATGGGCCGTCCCCTGGTCATCCTGGATCACCACTTCCCTGTGACTCCTACACCGTGCGCTCCCCAGCAGAGACGGCACCAACCCCAACAGTGTCACTGCCCCAAACCCTAGAGAGGAAATGGCCCTGGTTCTCTGTAGACCCGTCCGGAACCCAGAAGGAAAGGGACACCTGCACACCCTCCATGAGGCTGGCATGACTCCAGCACCAGAGCCGAAGACAAAACCACAGCCCGTCACGCATGCAGACGAGAAAATCCAGCAGCCCGGCCCAGAAACACTCCCAAGACAACGCAACACGACGCAAACGCAAGGCCACACGCTGGACAGCTCTGGCCCGCCATTCAGCACCCAGAACCAGGAGGAGAAGGGGCCCTGAGAGTCGCTGGCACGCGTGGGTAAGGACCACAGCTGGCACCACGTGTCAGAGCAGGAGGTGGGGCACTGCCCCGGTGGCCAGACCTGCTCCCGCCCTCACTCACCAATGCTCAGGCCTAACCAGAGCGATTGGTAACAAGAGGCAGGCGGGAAAAAATTAAAACGTTTTTATTCAAAGATGATGTGACCATCTATTAAAAAAACCCGGAAGAACCAAAATTAAACACAGAAACGTAACATGGGCTGTTTAAAGCCAGCACAAGCCCCAGAGAATCCCAGGCACGGTCCCGTGGCTCCCGGCGCTCACACCGACGCAGGCCCCCCACAGCCCGCCGGGACCCTGGGCAAGGCCTCGCCCCGCGCCCTGCACCGTCCCCTCACCGGCAGTTCCGTGAACCGAGAAATGCCAAGGCTGACGATCCCCGCGCCCAGGGACCTGGAGAGACCGGGCCGTGGCTCCCCGTGTCGCACCCGCCCCAGCAGACTCGAGCGCGGCACTCACCCTGCCTGCGCAGCTGGTGCTCCTGCCGGCTCCCGTGGGCCTCCGCGCTGGTCAGCGCCCCGCACAGCTGCTGCAGCTTCTCCTGGTTCTGCAGGTGCGTCATGCGCAGCTGGGCGCGCAGGGCCTGGATCTCCGCCAGCAAGCTGCTCCTGTCCGACAGACGGAGGTGTTCCAAGGACTTCTCCTGCAGACGGCCCGAGAGACAGGGCGGGAAAGGAGGGGAGCAGGGTCACAGACTCGGCCACTGGACGGCCCTGTGGAGGAGCACCCCCTGAATGGAGAAACGGGAGCACAGAGCGCGCCCCAGGGCAGGGGAGGCCGGGCCTGGCAGCGTGGGGCGGCTCCACACAAGCAGCCCACCCTCTGCAAATTCGTGTCTCCAGCTCCGTGGGCACGAGCCTGGGGATGGAGCCTCATCCCTGACAGAGTAAGAACAGGCTCGCAGGAGGAGTTGGTGACAAACATGTAGTATGGAACAGAGGCCCCAGGGGACATTCCGACCTCACACGGCTCCCTGCAGGTCCATGCCTCAGGCCACTGTGACCTACCGTGGACCTGCCTCTAGACTCTGGTGCCCTCTCCTCCAAGGGACTCGGTGGAGACCGTGCTGACCCCTCTGGCTCTCTGACCCTCCCCACCCGGGCTCAGCACTCTCGGCCTGGGTCAGGATACTTAGCGCTGCTCTGTCTTTAGGAAAAGGCCAGTTACTTCCAGAACACAGAGAGACCGAGAAGCAGAAGAAACGTACAGACATCTGCACTGGGCGACGTCGCGATTAAACAGTGTTACATATGTGGTCACTGCCACGTTCCAAGGTCAAATTCACATGAACCCATTCCATCACCCTCTCCGTTGCGGGGCTCCAGGAACCGGGTCACGGCACATGCTCACCTGCTCCTGGACCACCTTCTCCAGCCGCTGCATCAAAGAGTTGTGGTCCCCGGGGTCAGGAGCACAGGGCTGCGGTTGCAACTCGGCCCTCAGCACCTCCCACTCTTTTCCAAATGCCTCCTGCACAACCTGGAGAAATTCTCCTCTCCAGTCAAGACACATGTTGGGGGGTTCCTAAAATATTGGGACAAGAAGCTCGGTGTTCTTACAAACACACCCTGTGGGTTGCCCTGGAAGAGCCCATACCAGTGCACCCACGACCGCCCTGGGGCACACGAAGCCAACCCTGCTGACGGAGGAGACATGACCGAAGGCGAGAGCACATGAGACTGGGCCAACGGTGGGCAAACTTCCTCCTTTCCCACCACCACGCCAGGCCCAGCTTGGGTGCTGCTGGCTGGCTACCTTGTCCGCCGGCAGGCCTGGGCCTGGCACTGGGGTATTGCTTCCCTGCACACCCTGTGGTTGGTAGGTCCCTTGGGTGTGGCTCAGCACCCGGCCTTCACCCAGATGCCCCGGTTCCCCAGTCACAGAGCAGACACTGGGACCCCACAGGCTCAGGCCTGGCCCCCATACCCGGCCCCCGTCACCCACCTCCAGCTCCACCACGTGTCCTCCTCCCGTGGCCTTTCCTGCCCTAAAGGGGCCTGGAATGTGCCAGCAAACATGACTGAGAGGGCGGCTGGCCAGGACCAAGGCCCCTGTGCCCAGCGCTGACCACCCTCCTTCCCTTTATTCCACTCATCTAGCCAAGCGTCCCCCACCAAGTGCTCCTTGCCCACACCTTACCCTCTCTCAGGTGGAATGCCCCGTACCTTCTCTCCCTTTTGGAGTGCTAGGGTTGCATGTCTCCGCAGAGCCGGCACCGCCTCCAAAATGCCGGAGCCCGCTCTCGGGAAGCACTCGAGGGGGGCACTCGGCTCGCCCTTGCTCAGGGTGCTGGGTGGCCCGTGGCGCTCGGACAAGGCCAGTATGTGGTGGCTCTCATCACATACCATCTGCAGCAGAGCCTGCAACGGGACGGGCCTTTCAGGAAGAAGGAAAAGCTTCCGGAAACCACTCGTCTGTCTAGTCCCTGGCCCATCACCCAGGAACGATCACCAGGGCTGCACACACAGCTCTCTACAACCTCTGAACCCAAGAACAAGTTCTGTGGTTCCGTGAGATTCTTCAACAACCCCCCTGCGACCTTCAGACCCCACTAGGAAACCAGCTGGAAAGAGGATGTCAGTGTGCGCTACCCCCCGAGACGGCCGCCCCACCTGCGCCTGCACAAGGGACAGCGTCCCCTACCACCCCTTCCATAAGCCTGGGCGGGGCGCAGGGCAGGGCCTTGGGCCAACTTCCCAGGCCCCGTCATGGAGGCGCCCTGCGACTCCCCAGCTCTCCTGGGACGGCAGCCACTGCGCTCTGAGGAGGCTGTCGGGACCCACACAGGGGCCTGGGCTTCCCTAGGGATGAGGCGCCTGCACACAGCACCCAACCCGCTGCAGGCCCCTCTGGCCCTCGCTGCCTACAGCAGGGCCCGGACATGGGCAGCAGGGAGAGAGGGTCGCCCAATGCCCAGACAAGTCCCTGCACACACGCAGGGACTGTGAGCGCAGGAACGGGTCCTTCACGGCACCAGGACTCTGGGACACACACTGGCCAGGTCTCCTGCCCAAAGACACGGACAGAGGAACAAAGTGGCTTCCCCAGAGCTGCCCCCAGGTTAGGACTGACACAGGGTCTGAAGTAACCCGAGCGGCCCTCGCTGCACACAAAGGGTCATTCAAGGGGCGTGTTCTGTGTCCGTCTCTGCAGAACAAAGACTAACAGATGCTTTAAACAGGGAAGAACGAAAGCAGCAATGAAGCAGGGGTGTCTGGGTCGGTTCGGTGTCCGCTCCTTGATTTCAGCCCGTGTCATGGTCTCGGGGTCCTCGGATCGAGCCCCACATTGGGCTCCAGGCTCAGTGCAGGGTCTGCTGGCAGTTCTCTCTCCCTCTTGCATGCCTGCTCTCGCCCAAGTAATCGAAAAAAAAATAAAAACAAGAACAAAAACCAAGAAACCCAAGTTCAACACCCAAAAAACAAACAACCCAGTTAAGAAATGGACAGCAGGCACGAAGAGACACTTCTCCAAAGAAGACGTCCGGATGGCGAAGAAATACATGAAAAGATGCTCAACGTCACTCGTCATCAGGGAAATGCGGGCCGACACCACAGCGAGGGGCGGCTGCGGGGCTCAGTGGGTTGAGCCTCTGCCTTCGGCTCGGGTCATGATCCCAGGGTCCTGGGATCGAGCCCCGCATCGGGCTCTCTGCTCAGCGGGGAGCCTGCTTCCTCCTCCCTCTCTGCCTGCCTCTCTGCCTGCTTGTGCTGTCTGTCAAATAAATAAATAAACAAATAAATAAAAAAAACAATTTTTTTAAATGAGTAAGTAAGTAAATGCGCATTAAAATTCCTTTGTGGGGGAAGCAGCCACGAAGAGGCTTAGGACGGAGAACGACCAGTTCACTAGAAACAGGTCTGGCTAAGATTCTAACGATGGAGCCAGAACAGCGGAGTACCGACACAGAAAGTACTAAAAGGCCAACCCACACGTCAGGTTCATGTTCACACTTCCCGTGCCACAGCCCGGTGCAGACAGCGGCCGCTATGGGGAGACGAGAGGCCGTCCCTGAGTCTGCAGCCTCACACACGGCGGGAACGACTCCGCGACAGACGACCGCCACCCCCTCCTCCGGGAGCACTTGCCCCTGGCTAGGCATTCCACAGAGCGTCTGTGAAGACGAAGGACCGCGGCCTGCACCATCCCGCGAGCGAAGCTGCCTGTCAGGCCACCGCAGCCCTTTGGGGACGTCGCAGGACCCCGGGTCTGCTGCTGAGCCCTACCCTCGGGACGGGCATTGCACCGCGGGACCTGCGCTGTTGGGACTGCCCCTCCACGCGCGGTGTCGCCACGGCCTGCGAGCCTGCCCACCCCTCCTGCGGAGCCCGTGTTAGCTCCCGCCGGTGCACAGTGCCCCCCAGCACCGCGGCACCAAGGCCCGTCCCACGGCCCCGCTCACGGCTGCTTCCAGAGAGGCCCCGGAGATGTCCGAGCCCGGCCTGCCACGGCCTCCGGCACCCGCTGGGCCTCCCCCCAGTACTCCTGGCTGCGGGGGACCCGGAGCCGGGGCCACACTGGCTCGCGCTGCCGCGTCAGGAGGCCTGGTGGGGCCAGTTCGGATGGGAGCACAGGCTTCTCTTGATGCTGCCGTCCCCCGCGGTGCACGCGGCGGCCTCATACTCCAGAAACCGTGTAGAAACTTCAAGGAAAATGCGCCGAGAAACCTACCGGCAGATACCTCTGTCCTCTCCTCTTTTTCATGAGGGAGCGCGCGGACAAGCTCGGGGAGGGGCAGAGGGAGAATCTCAAGCAGACTGTGGCTGAGTAGGAGGAGCCAGGTGTGGGGCTCGATCCCACGACCCTGAGATCACCAAGCTCAGCTGACCTCGCCACCCGGGCGCCCCTCCTGTCCACTGTCACTTGGAAACGGGGAAGTCGCAGGTTCTGAGGGGCCAGTGAAGAGCCACACTAACAGGTGCTGACGCTTGCCCACGTCCACAAGGCTCCCCTGCAGACACGCGGCTCCCTCCGTGTCCACGTGGCTCCG